GAGACTATGGCCACAGTTTTATGTGAGAGTGATAGGGAGAGGTTGTTATCCAGTAGCATGAAGTCGGTTGTGTACTAAAGAGCTTTCCAGCAAGCCCTTTCATACTAGTTCTCTGTTTGCTGCAGGTCCTGATGTGTTCCAGGCTTCTAGTTCTGAGCAATGAGTTTTCTACTCTGAGGATTAGCTTGATTCTTGCCTTTGGGCAGTGCTACTTTAAGATATAGAATTCTTCAGTTGACCAAGAAAGTTTCCACTTCTCTGATTATCTTCCCATTCTTTGTACTTTAATTGTCATTTTTGTGAGATTTCTGCTGGAAAAGTGTTCAATCCTCCACCTTTATCCAGAAGCAGTTATTTTATAACTTTTAATATAAATTGTTATAGCAAGACAAGCATGATGGCTTACACCTATAGTCCCAACTACCTGGGAGGCTGAAGTGGGAGGATCATTAGAGGTCAGGAGATTGAGACCAGCCTGGCATCATAGCGAGACTCCTCTAAAAAAAAATTTTTTTTTAAATTAGTCACGTGTGGTGGTGCATGCCTGTAGTCTCAGCTACCTGGGAGACTGAAGTGAAAGGATAATTAGAGGTCAGGAGTTTGAGACAAGCTTAGGGAAAGACTCCATCTCTAAAAAAATTTTTTTTAAAAATATAGCCATGAGTAGTGGTGCTGCCTTTAGTTCCAGCTACTCAGGAGACTGAGGCAGGAGGATTGATTGAGTCCAGGAGTCTGAGACTGCAGTGAGCTATGAAGGTGATAGAATGAGATCCTATCTCTTTAAAAATAAATAAATTAGTTAAATTTTAAAATAAATACATTGCTTTAACAGATGCTCTCAATGCCCCATCCATATGTTCTCAGCAATTATCACTATATATGAACATGGCCTCCTGAATACAGTTGGGACTTTCTGCCTAAGGACTCTTTTCTTTTTTCCTTCCTCCCTCCCTCCCTCCCTCCTTTTGTTCCTTCCTTCCTTCCTTCCTTCCTTCCTTCCTTCCTTCCTTCCTTTCTTCCTTCCTTCCTTCCTTCCTTCCTTCCTTCCTTCTTTCCCTCCTTCCCTCTTCCCATCCTTCCTCCCATTCTTCCTTTCTTTCTTTTTGACTGTGGAAGTTTGTGTTTAGGGCTTGAGAGTCAATGTCACTGGAAGTAATACCTCATTGACAGAACTCCAAGGTATGTTCTATACTTTCTCTGGTTTCCCAAAGAGACTTGATTCCAGTTGCCTGAGTGATCACTTGCTTGTTGGTGCATCTTTTATTGGCTTCCTCTCCTTCCCTGTCCCATATCCTTACTCCTCTACTGCTTTTTTCTGGAACTGTCTCTCAAATTAACTAACAACACTCAAATCCTCATCTGCGTGTCTGCTTCTGAGGAGATCCTAGATATTTTTCAACCTTTTTATACTTTTCACCTACGCTGTTCTATTTTTGGCTAGCTCATAATTGTTAGATAATTATAATTTTTGAAGACTGGGTAATTAATCTTATTCTTAATGTCCTGGTCACAGCAACATAGGTCACAAGAATTGTATTTGATAATCTCTTTCTTTAAGGCAAACTATTTCCTACTTTAGGAAGTTAATGTATCTCCTTCTTTAAGAAGTAATGCATATTATAAGATATCACTTGATTAAAGTGGCCTGAGTTGGCTCATGACCAGTAAATTTTAAAAGCATCTCCAAATTTGTGTGCTAATTGCCTGTGAATAGGTGAGTAGGTGACCTCAGTCATTAAAAAAATAAAAACAAAAAAACCCCACTAAATCTCAAGTGTTTAAAAATGGAAATACATTACTTCTGTGCTGCTCAGACATTTGGGTCAAATGAGCTGATCTCTAAAAGACTGCTACATAACAAGGAGAAAAAAATTAGATCCCGGTGAGGTGGATATTTATCCCAGAGCAAAGTAAACAAATTTCCTCCCACAACAGTAAAATTATTGAGCTGAAAATTCACACAGGAAACCAAACCAGTTTATCAACTGACTCTCTGTCTATCTTTCTAAATCCTAAAAAAGACAACCTTTTGTAAAATGTCATTACAAAGTACCTGTTTTCTGTAAAATGACTTGACAATCTTAGAGTAATATTGATGTTTTTCTCATTGAATAGTTCTACAATAAGCAATGAGAACAGATTTTCCCCTCACAGCCGTAGACATTTTCAACGTTTTAACTCTTTATGTTTTTCTTCTGTAACAACCATAATAGGTCATTTAAAACATCGAAGGTGCCTTCTTTCCAGTGGCCAATGCATTGCATTATTCGTCTCTCTCTTTTATATTCTCAACATAAAACAACTCTTTTTATTGTGTCCTCTACCCGACTGCCACAGACATTGGGAAGCATGTGCCCCTATCTTGTACACCGTGGAAGAGTAAGGAATGGTAAAATGTGGCTTACGGTCTCCAGCAATGCCACAGAAAATCCTCCATGACATGCTGTCGGACCCAAGACAGCAGTAAAGATGGAAATCTACCCAGATGTAGGCAAAGGAGTATCTGACTACATACTCTGGCCTCACCTTTGGTCTCTGAAAGTCGCCTTGATAATGTCATTTACATTTCTGCCTGTGGCTGCAGAATCAGAGTAGCTCCTCTTTATAGCCTTAGTTATGCCAATATTAAGAGTAAAATACTTGAAGCAAGCTATAGATCCAGATACATGTGGCTTTACCCTTTTGCTCAGCCCCCTACCACAAATGATATAAAACCTAAGAGATAAGATCTGTGCTATATCATCACAAGCCTTAACCAGCATCCAAAACAATTTTTGAAATAGATTACACTTTTGCCAGTTGATATGAGAGGAAACTGAGTGACTAAGAGACTTCAATATTTTTGTTGTGAGTCACAAAGCAGATTTACTCCACTCTCTTCACCAACTGTGCTATGCTGGTTCCCAACTTAGAGTTTTATTTATCAATCTGTGCATTTACCAACTGTTTCTTCCATTCTGAACAAGATATGATGACTGTCCCTTCTGGAGAATTAAGATGATGTATATTTTTTTTTAAGTGAACCAAAAACTTAAGATCATAAATAGCTTATTTAAATCACATACGTACATTATTTATAGATAAAGTAGGATTAAAAATATCAACTAATTTAGCGTTTTTACTTGTTCATGGTAGTACAATCTTGGTTTTCCATTTCTCTCTGTCACACTGTCACACTCTTGAAACCATGTCCTACCCTATAATTTTAGGTATTCCTGCCTCATTCATGTTTGATTTTCAAGTCATACTCAACATACACATATGGCTTTAGGAAGATGTAGCACGAAAATCTCTAAAAGAAAATTGCTGTTATTTACTTACTGTTATCATCCATTTTCCTTCAACAAAAGAAAAGAGAGAAAAGGAGAGAGAATAAAAAAGACAGGATCTCCAAATATTCAGTAAAACATACATATTATAGATAACAATGTGTTTAATTTAGGCTATATGAATATAAAAGAGATGTTTCTTATTTAGTAGTAGCAATTTGTGGGCACCGGAGTTGGCAATGATAAAAATGTCCAAAGTCGCAAATACAGTATGTAGTTAGTCATGGGTGGTGTTATTTGGCTCCAAAATAGACTTTTATTTTGCCTTTCTTTCTCTTAACCACAATTGGAATTAGAAGAGTGACAAGAACCAGCAGGAAGTTAGAACAAAAAGCTGACGACAGAGAAGTGTTCAAACAGCCAGCTAAATTCACTGCACTTCTCAACCACAGAAATATTTTCAGGTGATTCTGTTTTTGAAAAAACGTGGGAACCACAGGATCTACAACACTTCCAGGCAAAACTCAACAGCTCTAATAATAGTGACAGAAGTGAAAGCCAATTTGGATAAAATAAGACATTGACTCAAAGTCCTCTGAGAGATTTTTCAAAACACAGTTTACAAAGTTCCTTTTGCCTTTTGGGAAATCACATTCCTCTTTGCACCTTGACGTTTTTTCTGAATTTCTTTCTGTCTGGGAGAATTTTCCTACAGTGTTTCTTCTCCATCTGACATCATGAAATGTGATATATATATTTTTTCCTCTCTCTTTTCTTTTTAACCATAAAGTGACTAAAAGCCTATTTCATGCTCTGGTCCTCCACTGAGCAGGCACTGTGTGGCTAAAGTCCCTAAAAAAGATGCAGGTGACGTCAGTGGTGTAGTATCAGTGAAATCTGAGTCATGCAGTTTAGCTTCTTAGTGCCTACAACTTTTCTACTGACATGCCCAAAAGACAGCAGATCAAAATGCTACTTTAGTGTCTATTAGCCCTTTCTTTAGAAAGATAAAGGTGGCTTGGTTTATATGGAATTAATATAAACTTTTCTGTATCACTGCCTCTTGTGTGTGTATACGATGGTTAAAGCTATCAGCTAGTTCATGTCCATGTGTGCTCAGAAACTTAGTAAATTATTTCTACTATTCTATTTTCAGAATGTACAAGATGATTCTTCTCTCTGGATGCTGAGAGCTCATTTGGGAAGCCTAATATTTAAATCATGTTTATGTGTGTTATTTTTCCCAAGCCAATTTAATATGCCCTTTGTTAATTTGAAAACAATAATAAAATAAGGGAATGGTTTTTTCTAGGGTGAGAAGAGTGACAGCACAGTTCCAGAGACCAATGGACATGAATTAAGGGAAAGAAACTCAGTCAGACATGGTGGCTCACATCTGTAATCCCAACACTTTGGGAGGCCAAGGTGGGTGGATCACCTGAAGTCAAGGGTTCAAGACCAGCCTGGCCAACATGGTGAAACTCTATCTTTACTAAAAAAAAAATACAAAAATTAGCCAGGTGTGGTGGTGCACGCCTGTAATCCCAGCTACTTGGGAGGCTGAGCCAGGATAATCGCATGAACCCTGGAGGCAGAGGTTGCAGTGAGCCAAGATCACGCAACTGCACTCCAGCCTGGATGACAGAGTGAGACTCCGTCTCAAAAAAAAAAAAAAAAAAAAAAAAAAAAAAAAAAACAAGGATATAATGAGATGTCTTTGTTCTATCCCTTTGTATCCCTTCGGACAAACCACTTTTGTTGACTTACTGTGCCCTAAACTTTTCCTCTGTTAAATGAAAGAGGTGAGATCAATGTTCTTTAGATCCTTCTGTTTGTAACTTTCTATCCATAGTCTCCAGGCTCTTCTACCTTGCTGCTTTGATTATTATCCTCATCAGCTCTCCAAAATCTGCTGTGATCAAATTTATGTTTCAATAAGTTTACTATTGTTGCAGTATGAAAACAGATTGGAGAGGAAGATGGGGTTGGGGTTATAGAGATAAGAGACTAATGCAGTAATTCTAGAGTAAATTGATGGGGATATGATCACATGTGGGAACAGAAGTGAACAGAGTCAGAAGAGACATACGGTGTTAAGCTGTCTGGAAGCAGCTTTACTGGTTTGTATCTGGTAAGTGAGGAGAAAGGAGACGTCGAGGATCATGGGCAGGCTCCAGGCTTAGGTCATCTGCATGCGTCAGTGTCCTGCGCTGGAACACAGAATGACAGTCAACATCAGGGAACAGGCAAAATTTGGTTTTGGAGTTGGTGAACTGAAATGTATTTGGGACATTGTCACCTGAATGTTTCCAGACACTTGAGGGCTATGACTTTCACCCAGCACATAGCTGAAGCCTATCTCACCACATACATGTCATGGCATCTGGAAAAAAATTCAAATCTGACAATAATTTTGAAAAACCACGTAGATTTTTCTGGAAGTCTCATTGGAAAGACAGAGGAAATAAGTTAATTGCATGTTATATATTAATATGTCTTTAAAATCACCTTTGCATCTATCTCTTGCCCCAAATTTCAGCTCTCTCTAACAACGTTTATTTCCTTTCCTTCTCTTAGAAAAAATCAAAGAGAAACTTTTCCTCTCTAACCACCATCTTCGAAATGTGAAAACTTTGCAGCTTTCATCTTCTTAGACATGAAGTCCAGAAGCCAGTCTTGGTCTTTCATTGCGTAACGTCACACTTATATCGCAATTTTATTATTAAGCACATCATATTCTTGTTAATTATATATTAGTCTCCTCTATTTTATTTGATGCTGAGCCTTTCAGGGACATTATTTTGTTGTTGTTGTTGTTGTTGTTGTTGTTGTTGTTGTTTTGAGACAAGAGTCTCGCTTTGTTTCCCAGGCTGGAGTGCAGTGGCGCGATCTTGGCTCACTGCAAGCTCCGCCTCCCCGGTTCACGCCATTCTCCTGCCTCAGCCTCCCGAATAGCTGGGACTACAGGCGCCCGCCACCATGTCTGGCTAATTTTTTTGTGTTTTTTAGTAGAGATGAGGTTTCACCATGTTAGCCAGGATGTGCGTGTGTGTGTCCGTGTTTTAATTGTAATGCCAGAACTTAGGTTATTTATATTAGATAAGAAATACATGTTTATTGACTGAAAACAATTATGTTTAAACATTAGCTAATTATTTTTCAAATCACAATTATTTCCACAAAATTTCCCTGGACTTCATAAGTTGAAAAAAACTCTCTTATAGGTTCCCTAAATCAATTAATTTTATTTCTGGTCTCTAGCTTACACTTACCGTATGCTACATCAGGGTAAGTTAATTCCATACATATTATATTCCTATTCTGCTAATCAAAGCTTATTAGTCTTTGTATTCCCAATGCCCATCCTGTGGTTTGACTATGTCAGGTGCCCCAAAAGTATTTTTTTAAGTAAAGTTGTGAAGGTATCAATGAATGAATGCATCTTCTAGTGTTCAGGTTTGTGTTTGTGAACTGTTGATTTGCTCTGTATTTTCTTGCTCTCTATAAAATACATCTATTTGTAATTGTTCATCTTATACTAACCCAGCTTGATTTTGCTTGACAGCAGGGACCTTTTTTTTCTTGGTTCGTATTCATTTATCACATTTCCTGTTTTTACATTTTACATTTTGCTAATGCTAATTGCTTAAAATATATTAATTGAATGAAGACTTGCAATCACAGTCCTGTAGGATATCCAGTCTCTCCTACTCACAATGACATCCTCAAGTTTAAAAAAGTGGGCACCCATAAGTAATTGAACAAAATTTGTGATATTCTAGCAACAAAGAAGAGGCAAAAACTACTGAAAAGGCTCTTGATAGTGTCTATCCCCACGTGATGCTGCACCTTCTGAGAACATGTTTGAAATTTAGTACCTGTTCACAGGGAATTTTTAAAGCATTAACACTTAGTTGCACTAATCTGTGTTGTGGTTTTGTTTGTTTGTTTGTTTTGTTTTTTGTTTTTTTGTTTTCAGTAGCAACGTACGTCTAAAAGTTCTCTCCATTGGATTACGTGCCATAGAAAGTACATATGTCTTCTACACCATCTGCAAGACATTTTAAGCATTTTATTAATCTTTTAGCAGAGAATAACATCACCTACTTTAAAGCACAAAAAACTTTTCAAAAATTATGTGGACATGGTTCAAGTGTACCAAAATACTGCACAGAAAATGATAAATGTCCCTTTAATTAGAATGACAGCAAGAATTTAGGAAGGCAGAATTTAATGCAATTAAAATTAGAAAATCATTGTTAACAAGAGTCATGTTACATTTCTTGAAGAGAACACAGTGAGGAATTTTTAATTTTGGATGAATCAATAATTTTATTTTTATGTCTCTCTTGAGCCTGTTCTAATTAAAAGAGTATGGAAGATCAATTAGAGGAAACATTATAAACTTCCCTTGTCTCAATTGCAATATTTTGCTTGAGAAGTATGTTCACAGCATTGAGTGAAAGTTAAAAAACTAATACTTGAAAAACAAATATGAATGTAAGGAACCAAGAATATTATTCAAGTCCAGGAGTAAAGAATAGATATAGCTGTACCAATTTATTTTTGTTTGTTACTGCTTACCTACTTATTGACATTTTTAAAATTTTAAGTATATATGTAAATAGTTACTAAAATGAATATGCTAGCAATTCAGAAAAATTGGAAACACAGAAAAGAACAGAGGGAAATTACCAAAAAACCTGCCAGGTAAGAAAAACCACTGTTGATATTTTCTTCTAGTCTTTCTCCAGGTCAGACATTTTTCAAAAGGATGGTCACCCTGTTCAAAATATTTTGTAGCACACTTTTCTACTTAGAAATGTATCCAGAACACTTTTCATATCAAATATTATTCCACTGAGTGATTTAATGGCCACATGGCATCATCCCATCTGGGTGTAACCATGTATATTAATCTCCCACCAGTTCACATTTGTTTCTAATTTATTATTGTTTTTATTATTAATATTCTTTTAAGTTGATAAATCATAATTATATATATTTATAGAGTACCATGTGACGTTTTGATATATGTACATAATTTGAAATAATTAAATTGAGCAAATTAACATATCCATCACCTCATTTGCTTATCATTTTTATGGTGAGACATTCAAAATGTACTTAGTTATTTTGAAATATACAATATGTTATGATTGACTGCAGTCACCCTACCGTGCAATAGATCTAGAATTTATTCCTGCTGTCTATGTGAAACTTTGTACCATTTGACCAACAATGCTTATTGACATTTTTTATTAAGGAGGAAAAGTTTTATCAGGATCACATCCTGAACCTGCATGGTGAATTTAAATTGTAAATTATGCGTTGCAATTGCACGTCAGGTTTTTCAGCTTTGATTCTCTTAATTGAACACAAATTTAAGATTAAGGTGCCCAGTTTATTAAGCAGAAGAAACACTTCATAAAACAGTTCTACACTGTGTCAAAAAGGGAAAAAAATGCTATAAATAAATTGTATTGTACCACATATTAAATGAGAAAAAATGCTTAAAGAGAAATTATTTGTTAGCATACTAATGAAAAGAGGGGAGTTTTTAACTTATCATGGTATTTACACCTTAGATATGGATTTAAATATTAGTTATCACCACTTGTGTGTGATGCCACTGCTGTCTTGGGTTGGAGAGCATGGTAGGGTGGGAGAGTTTTGGACCCTGAATTTATCACTACCACTGTGCCAATAATAATATTGAAAGTCAATGTTTATTGAGTTTAGTATGTACCAGTTACTTTATATGCATTATCTCTTTAAATCTTCATAGAAATCCTGTGAGGTACTATAATCATTACTCACATTTTTCAGATGACTAGTTGGAGGTACAGGAAAGTTAAGCAAACTGCCAAAAATTAGTAGCCAATAAGTGCCAAAGCTAGGATTTAAATCAGGTCTTCTAATTCACAAGACTGTGCTCCTCAGAATTTAATGTTCTAGTGTTTAGGTTTGTTTTTGTGCACTATTATCAACAATCTGTATATTTTTCTCTCTATATATAAAACACTTCTCTTTTTGTGATTGCCTTATGCTAATCCAGTTTTATGTTACTTGAGATCAAGAAAAATTTTCTTCCTTATTTTGTATGCTTTAATTATGTTTCCTACTTCCACACTTGTCTAATGCTAATTAGATATGCTAATAAATGCTAATAAGTTGTTGGGGCCAGGATGCAAACAACGTAATCTAACTTGCTTGAGCCCGTGTTCTTCACAACAGGGCCACATGGTTTCCAGAAAGACAAGTTATCTCTCTGACTCAGTTTCCTCATCTATAAAATGTGTCAAGGGAGTCAGATGCCTGATACGGTTTGGCTCTGTGTCCCCACCCAAATCTCATCCTGTAGCTGCTGTAATTTCCACATGTTGTGGGAGAGGCCTGATGGGAGATGACTGAATCATGGGGGCGGGTATTTCCTGTGTTGTTCTGGTGATAGTGAATGGGTCTTATGAGATCTGATGGTTTTAAAAGCAGGAGTTTCCTCGCACACTCTCTCTCTTTGCCTGACACCATCCACCTAAGATGTGACTTGCTCCTTCTTGCCTTCCACCATGATTGTGAGGCCTCCCCAGTCACGTGGAACTGGGAGTCCAGTTAAACCTCTTTCTTTTGTAAATTGCTTAGTCTTGGGTATGTCTTTATCAGCTGTGTGATAATGAACTAATACAATGCCTTTTAAGGACCTTGTCCTCTCAGTAGTTTAATCATTGTATATGATTATTCTGGGCCAATGCAGGGCTAAGGAAAATAGAACTCTTTGTGGAACAGAACAATAAACATTGCTGTATTGCAATTTTCAATGGCTGGGGCTGGTCTTATTTTCCATTCCTACAGGATCCAGTTAAGGATTAAAATATAAGTAGTTTGGGATCCCAAGACATATCAGTAGGAAAGCAGAGGAGTGAAGTTAAGTGGGCTGGTGTTATAGTGTGTTATCAAGCAAGTCACCACTGTGGACAAAAGCAGCTTAATCTCTCAAGGGAATTCAGAAAAGCACAGAACACAGCTTGGAAGTTCCATTATGTGAGAGAGGCTGCCAGGATACTTACTAGTGAGGGCCGCTCCCAGGGGCTAGCTGGGCACTTCCAGCCTGCTAAGTCTATAACCAGAAAGGGCTCAAGAGACCAGAGGAAGCACTCAAGCAAAGAAATTTAGGTGCAAACCATTTAAAGTCACACCTGAAGGATTTAGGGGATCTGCCTAGAGACTTTGCCACAGGATGTGCTGACAAACTTAACCTTTAGGTTAAGAGTAATTTTGAAACATTGTTTGTTTGCTATTGTACAGTTAACTTGATTTTCTGGAATAACACAGTCTTCTTCCTAGTCTTAGTAAATGCGGTGTAAAGAACATAATTGAATCTCTTTGATGATTAAGTTTCCCGAAGTCCCTCCGTGCCCTATTATGATGAAAGTTTGGGTATTTTCATTTTACCTGAGAAAATGCTTTCACATACCATGATGCCTCAGAGATGTACTTCATATGAGATCTCTGAAAATATGAGGAGAGATCTTAGAAGCCCAAATGATGGCTTTTTTCTTTTTCTACCTTGCCTCAGAGGAATGCACCTACCATAACTGCAGTTCTAATCCTTTTAGAGCAAAACAATTTCCAGCTCTACTTTTGTGACATCTTAGCGCACCCGTAGAAATCTATAATTCTCAAGAAAACGCACACACATAAAGCAGCAGCCAAGAAATTTTGAATCAATCCAATTTCAATTTGTTTTCAAAATGTACATAGAACATGAAACACATTTTAGGAAGTAGTTCCTCTAATGAAATAACATCAAAATCATAGGTGCTCTAATTTACAATGCTTACTAATAACTGCTTTATTAAGCTAAGAGAGAATAAAAATCATGGACACTGGAAGGACCATAAAAAGAACACATGTACTGACCCAAAGTGGTTCTAATTTTTAGGACTGAAAAGGAGATTCACCAAGTGAACAGAGGAAATAAAGAAATTATTACACCAAAAATTAAATTTTTTTCTACAGACTTTAAATTTGTTTTTCTAGATTCCCTATTGCTCTTGTACCTTTCCACTTTTTAATAAATTTATCTTGTTAAGTGAGATTACCCCCCTCTCTCCCTTTCTTCCTTCCACCTCTTTTCTCCCAAACCCTTTCCCCATCTTAGCCAGTGTGGGGCAAGAAGATAGCTATTATTACAGAACTTCTCTCTCTTGCAGTCCTAAACACTCTCTATTGATTTCAGAAGAGGCATTCTGGGAAAATTCACAGACATGGCTTTGAATTTCTTGTTTTGGTCCTTTCAGCAAATGTATACAATGATATATAGTGTATTTGTCATACTGTTATTCAGCATCCATTCAAATAGAAATTAATTTAACCTTAAAATTGAATATAGAATTGTGTTTTGAAAGTGGTTAAAGAATGCTCAGATGTATCTACAAAGAATAGCATGACATCTTTAATGCAAATATTTAGAACAGAATTGTTTAAATGACTTTGTAGGCTCAACATCTTATGTTAAGTCATTTATGTTCCTGGAAGCAAACACATATTCCAGTTTATATTAATAGCACCTTTTTGGAAGAGACCGCTACTGTCCATTGAAGTCCTTTGTCACCTTCCTCTGTAATAAGAGTTGTAACTAGAATACAGCTACCCAGAGAAAGACTGTATTTCTTAGTCCCGCCTGAAGCTATGTTTGACCATTTAACTAAATTCTTGCCAGTGGAATGTCAACAGAAATAGTGGGTCCTAATTCTGCTCCTGAGTCTTAGAAAATTGAACATATGTTATTCCATATCCTTTCTTCTGCCCCTTGTATGGAAAATAGCTTTGAGCTTTCAGATAAGGACAATGCTCAGGGAGGTGAAAAAGTAGAAATATGCAAAGAACCCGGGCCCTAAAGAATTGCATAGACTGGGGGAGTCTCCTGTCAAAGTATCTGGCTTATTGTAGAATTTATATGTAGCATCAGAAAAAAAAAAAAAAACTTATGTTTTCTTTAAACCATTTATTTTGGGGTCTCTTTGTTCTTTCTATTAGCTAATGCATTAC